CCTCCCCCCCCCTCGCCGCACAGGTAGGTACACAGCGAAAAGAAACGCAGAAAATGGAATTACAATATTTTTATTGTGGATTTCAAAATATACATATGGACAAAGCAAGAATATACAAAACATACACAATATACATATGTACAAAGCAAGAATATACAAAACATAAGACACACAAAAATTACTCACAGTTACGGCATTTGGCAATTTCTTGACGCCATAAATGCCCTAAAGTTCACTGCAAACAGAAGAAATTAAAATATTAGAAAACTTTTAGTACATATAAAGCACATTTGGAATATCATGCTTACAAATAAATAATGAACATACTTATTTCAGCGGGAGTTAGCTGTAATGAGGTTGAAGGCATGGCTGTGAAAAAAAAAGGAACAAAATATTAGTAAATTTACGAGGCTTAACAATTAACATACCAGGCTGGCAGTGGGTGTAGCCCCATCGCATTGGTGGGCAGTTGGGCAGCTGAGCAAGAACATTGTTGTGGTGGACTGGTGTTTGAGGACCTGTTTGTGGCAAAAATTAAAATATTCTTACATATGTAACTCTTGAAAAAAAACATACCACAGTTGTAATCTTGTGTGTTGCTGGAAATGGCTCCAGGTGCGTGGTTGGGATGAGGTCCAGGTTGGTAGCTGGGTGGGGCCATCCCTTAAATAAAGAGAGGAACAATACATTAGTACAACAAGTTTAAGTCATCGCAGTGAAGAGCAGTAAGCAGGTGAGCAAGACCATCGCTGCAGTGGGCTGTTGGCTCTGTGGCCATAATTAAAGTATTCGTACATTTTCAATGTTTAGAAAGAAACACACCTGAGTTGGAAGTAGCTGTGTGGCTGGGGTAATGGGGTGCAGGTGGGCAGCTGGGTGAGTCCACATCTGTAAAACAAATTGAAATATTAGGGAATTTTACTTGCTTTAAGATACATTTGGGCAGTCGTGGACAAAAATCAACTTACCAAGTGCAGGTGTATTCTTCTCAAATTGTAACAGTTTGGGATGGTGGTTAAGTCTTTGTGGCAGCAAGGGGGTATACACCTTGTTACCTGTGAGACAACAGATTTTAGAAATGAAAGAAACTGATTTCAGTAGCAGGATAATGTTTAAGTCCAGTAAGTCTGCTTAACTTAAACTCGTGCAAGTTTTAAAAACTTTACACTAAAATTAGAATGCTTAAGACATACAGGTAATGTTTAAGACATCCAGGTTACGCTTTGAGTCAATTGACATCTTTTCAAGATTTGCAAAACTTTATGGGTGATGAAAGTGACATAGACATATTTTGAATCAGTTGGCACTTCCAAAATTAGACCCATACCTTAAAACTTTGTTTCGGAAATATTTTCATTTCAGAAATTTTGACAGAAATTCCTGAAATTAGACTCTGTTATGGACTAATTGAGGTAGGTACTTTGTAGGTATTTTGTATGATATGGCATGTAACAATTTATGATGCACGATTGTCATAAAACTGAAATGAGCTTGCAAAGGGACTTACTTCCTGATGGTGGTTGTCCTGGTGAGCAGGTACTTAATGATGGTGACTGCAACTGATGGCAGTCACTGTCACTCCCTCGCAGCAACCGCTCACCCAGTTCCTCTATAATCACAAAAAGTTACATTACCAACAACTCAGTGTAGTGCACTTTGCACTTTGGTCGGTTCCCTTGCAAACTTGAGTAACCGCAAATCAAAAAAATATTATTCAGAAAGACACTTTGATGTCATCAACTAACCGGCAGCTGTTGTGTATGGCACAGCCAAGGAATAGTCTGCTCTGGTGTGGTCTGGAAACAAAACATTCCACAATTAAAAAGCGTACAATAACAAAGACATAAGTTTAATTAGGATACAGTAACATGATAGGTCATACCTGTCATCTGAAGTGGTTTATCAAAAGTGGCAATTCTATCTTCAAAGTTCCCATCTGAAAAGGGGTAAAAGTTAGTACACGGATTTTCTTTTGCCAGTGTGAAATACTGTAACAAAAATTTTACATACTTTCTAGAGACTTGCTCCTCTGCAAGATGGAACTCTCTTCATCTTCCCCTGCACCAAGCTGAGCAGTAGTATCACTAGTGGCTTGCTGCTCCCGTACAGTAGTCGTAGCTGGCTGCTCTCCTGAAAAGAAAAGAAAGATTTCAGATCACAAATTGAAGTGACATGAATTTCATATAATTGCCATGGAGTTGAGAAATACTGCTTGGCTCCCCAGTTTGTTTGTTTTTAGAAGAGGAAGGCAAGGTGGGTGAAGAACGTTTCATTAGAGAGTTAACCAATTAGGTACCCCCACAATGTCTTGTTCTTAGTGGTCATTCTAGACAGAAATCTCGGAGACAAGCTGGGATTAATGTTGGGGTTTGAGTTACTCAGAAAGGGAAAGTGTAACACTAATTAATAGAGCCCAACTGACGACCAATAATATATTTTTCTTGAAGTAATAATAATGTTTTAATTAGTTATGAAGCTAAAAACCATAAATTGGTAATCAAAGCTAATCAAATTTGTATTATTTGTCATCAGTTGGGCTCGTTTTAATAGTATAACATTTAACCTTTCTTAATAACTTTAACCCGAACAAAAATTCCACTTTGTCTCTGAGATTTCTGTCTGGAAAGACAGCTAAGTAGACATTGTGGGAGCACCCATAAGATGTGGCAATTTTTGGGAATAAATTGGCCAAAATATAAGGTGAACTATTTCAACAGAATCCACTGCAACTCACCAGTCTCCATAAGTCTCTTATTATTGGGTCCATTCTCTAAAGCTGACTGCTTCCTCTTATTATTTTTTCTCTTATTTGAGATCATCATGTTAATGTGGTTATTATACATCTTAAGACATCCAGGCTCTTTGAATGTCTCCCGGCAGTAATCTGCAAATGAAAAATAAGTTACTTTTCAGGACACAAAAATAGATTGAAGATGATATATTACCAGGTGGAATACGTACTGTAAAGAGCAGTGTACAGTCTCTTATCAATTCCTATACTATTCCCTGTGCCAACAGCTGTGAGGTGTTCCAGATCTGTTCCATAAATGTTATTTAGCAGCTTGGTGGTATAGATGGCCCAATTCGATTCGTTGTGAAGCTCACATTTCAGTAATGTTGCCAGGGTATGTGGGACATACAGGGACCCATTACCAAAAAGATCATGCTGGAAAAGAGAGTTGTGAATGTATAATAAATTATTGCTACATTGGCTGTGCATGAGGCAATACCTAAAAGATTATATTCTCACCTCAGAGGTACTAGTCTTCACAAACCAGGAATCAGGCAACTGAAATGTGAAACTACTTTTAGACTTTGAAATATTAACTGCAAAAGTCCTATCCTAATGACAGTGCTACGTCGGCTCCATGAAATGGAGGCTGCACAATGATGGCTTACTTGGCTTATTTTCTTCCTTTGCGTTAGAGTTTTATCGGCAAAACTGTTGAAGAGTCCTTTCATGACCTCGCACATCCACTCAGAGTCTGGAATCCGAGGCACATTTTCTTCAACAGTTCGAATCAAAGCTTCCAGGAATTTCAAGGCCTCTTGGTTTACTGACAAGAAGGAAATTAAAATAGTTAAACAGTGGTCTTTGAAAGGTGTTAAACACAGCAAAATCACTGTTAGACATACCATGGTGACCCACACCGTTAGCATACAACTTAATTGTATCTTGATAGGAAACTAGTCCAAAGCGGGGCTCAAAGGACATTGTGCGCTGAGGAACCATAGCCGGAGGGATCACAGATTCATGGCAAACATTTGTGGCATTGAGGACATTGATGCCTTCAGTCCTTTGGTTTTCCTTCATCTGTTTGGTAACAATTCTTCTCCTCCTGGCCTGTTGACAAAAAAAGGGAAATCATTAAAAGCATGGTAGACATTGATGGTGTCACTCTTTTCGAAGTGAAGCTCTGGTTGTTGACTTTTTATCCTTACATGTTCCTTCTTTGCTGCTATGAGGTTTGGGTTCGTGACCCTCTCGTATTCTGTGAGGATGTGCCCATCGATAGCACTTAAACAGATTTCTTCAAGAGAAGCCGCGTCATCTGCAGAACATAGAATTTGTGTAAATATTTTGAAGTCTGCATGCCGCTTGAGGTTAGGTTCACATCGCACAAGGCGAAAGTCTAAGGAAAAGTCGACTTACCTGCTCCCTCCTTGACCTTTGCTTTGTGGGAAATTTTTTTCTTCTGCTCATCCGTGTAAGTCAACGGCACAAGAGCATCAAATTTCCGATACTTCTTTTGAATGTGTCTACCTGGGAGCACATCGCTTTCCCCATAGTCTTGCCCAACTAATGGCAACCAAAACACAAGGAAGAACTTGCACTTTATCAGCCTCTCGGCGTTCAATTCTGCCTGGGTTTTAGGAGCGTTGGAGGAGGATTTCTTACCAGCCATGGCACTTACAAGGAAAATAGCAAACGGTCTCAGAAAAACAGTGACTGCTGCGAGCGACGAGCGAGTGGTGTGGAAAGGAAAAATGTAAACATCGTCGGGCAAACGGAACAGGAACATGGCGTCGTGGTCTGCCTGTGCCATCTTCTTACTTTCGTTCTTCGCCGTGACCGATAGAATTTTATGAAATATTCATTATGGCACTGCCTATCCAGACTTAGAGCTTGGGCTGAGGAAAGAAGTATTTTTTTCAATTAATTATTATTGTCATTTTTGTTATTCAACTATTCGTGACAGTATAAACGGCTGAAAGAGGCCGTTAGACTCGAGCTATCCACTAGCCATTCGAGATTCGAGTCTCTACCGCCCTCCTCCCTCTCCCTCCCCTCCCCCTCCCTGGCGTCATCATGTAAACACACGGCAGTACTTAGGCCTCTTTTAGTTAATTCCGTCTGAATTTGCTGGATAATTTGTTGTCCCGCTATCTATCATTATGGGCAAAAGGCAATGTCCGCCTTGTGAGCAGGGCGAAAGAGCTCACCGGATGGTGCGTCGTGTCCTGCGAAAACAGGTCGAAGGAGATGTGGCTGCTGCTCGCAGGTTAATGAACGCCTAAATGTTATTATAATTGTTACTTATCTAGAAGCTTCTGCCTTTACTCTAATGTTGTTTTTTTATATTGCTTACAGAATGCAGGAGGATGTAGGAGTGAACGAAGATGTAGAGGAGGTACCCGGGCCAGCTGCTTTGCAGAACGAAGAGAACAACAGGTTATGTCTGAATATTCTCTTTTAATCTTATTAGGTGCTTAGATTTTCGCTTGTCTCATCGTTTCTTTTATGTTTCTTTTCCAGGATTGATGGCAATGTCAACATGGGATTGGAGGAGGGGGAGATAGTTGGATATGTCCAGGGAGACGCTGAAGTTCTGAATGAGGTTGGTCGGAGGGCAGCTCATCAGCCTATTGTTGAACCTGCTCAGGGGATCAACAACCCTCCCCAGCCTCAAGCTCAAGGTGCGAGAAATCTCCCCCCTAATGACAACGAAGGACCAAGATTGGTCAACGACAACAATCCTTACGACAATGAGGAAGAAATATCAGGTGATGATTTTTCGGATGAAGAGGAAGATGACAACTTTGGAAACCAACGTCTCTACAATGGGGCTCCAATTTATGTCAGAGACAGTATGATAATGGTGTTGAATCTCATGTTGAACCACAATCTTACACGTTCTTGTGTAGAAGATTTGCTACAGTTAATCAACTTCCATTGCCCCCGTGCTGGATTGCATCGCCTGAGCTACTTCAAGTTTAACAGGTTCTGCGCAAGCTCAAAGCTTGAAATGAGAAGGAAATTTTACTGCTCTTTCTGTTTTACAGCTTTGGCATCAAGAGAAGAATTGTGCCCAACTTGCAGAGAAGAAAAGGAGAAAGCATATTTTGTGCAGCTGCCCTTGTTACCCCAACTGCGTGAGTTATACAAGCGGCCATCATTTTACAACAGTCTGCAGCATAGGCATGCGAGGGTGAGAGAACCTGGTGCTCATTACTTTGAAGACATATATGATGGTAGTGTTTATCAAGAGCATGTACAAGGTGGGTTCTTAAATGACCGTAATAATATTTCACTCACTTGGTACACAGATGGTGCTCCAGTATTTAATTCTAGAAACTACAGTATTTGGCCTTTTATGTTTATGATTAATGAACTTCCATACAAAATGAGAACTCGTAGGGAAAATTACTTGATGGCTGGCCTGTGGTTTGGCCCTCACAAGCCAGCAGTAAATATTTTTCTGAGATCATTCCTTCCTGATCTAAGAAAATTGTTCCGTGGAGTAGATTTCACCATTGCAGATTTAGGTGGAAATGCAACCAGGGTGAGAGCAATGGTATTGGCTGGAGTTTGTGATACACCTGCAAAATCCTCATTCTTTAATTTTAATGCTCATAATGGTTACTACGGCTGTACTTTTTGTGAAATAAGAGGTGCTCAGGTTCATCTGCCTGCTCGAGATGATCAACCTCAGAAGCGCAAACATGTGTACCATTACCAGGAGCTGCTCTCTTTGCGTTCAATTAATACTTATGAGCAATTGGCAAGGGCAGCTGTTGATTCTCCTGATCCTGTGCTTGGAATTAAAGGCCCTACTGCCCTTCACCTCTTCATGCCAGATTTTTTAAAAGGGGGTGCTATAGATCCAATGCACCTTGTGACTGGGGTATCTCGCAAGCTGCTGAAGATTCACTTTGATTCAAAGTGGTCAAGGGAAAGATATTCAGTGAGGCACCATATGGGTGAAGCTGACCGGCTGTTACTACTGATTAAACCTCCTAGGTTTATTCATAGGAGGGCTCAATCTCTAGAACTGCTTCATCGCTGGAAAGCTTCTCAACTTTTTGCTTGGATATATTACTATTCCATTCCAATTTATAAACAAATTTTGACCCCAGTTTACTTTTTTCACTACCTGAAGTTTGTTGAAGCAGTTTCACTTTTGAATTCTAATGTGGTGTCAGCTGCAGAGATAAATAGAGCTGAGACGCTTCTCAAGGAATTTGTCAGAGACTTTGAGCAATTGTATCACATTAAACATTGTTCTATTAACATTCATTTACTTTTACATCTACCAGATTGTGTTAGGCGTCTGGGTCCTTTATGGGTGTACAGTTGCTTCCCCATGGAAAATTTGAATGGATTAATGCTTGCGAATATCCATGGAAAAACTTCTGTTGACTCTCAGTTATGTAATTCATTTTGGAAAGTACTTTGTCAAAACCGACGATTGCATGAAATTCCAGATGGTGAACTTAAAGAATTCATTACAAAGCGTAGAAAGTCTGTGAAAATACAGGATCGGGTTTTTCAGGGATGTTACAGTGTAGGAGATTACAGCGAAGCTGTTGCCAATGATCAAATTTTTGTTAATGCCTTGAGGGAACAACATGGCAATGATGGCCCTGTGTCACTCTACTTCCGTCTTCTTAAAGACAGATTACTGTATGTGGCTGAGCGTTATGAACGTGATCTTGCCAGCAAATCATCATATGTCATGTATGATTACCGTGGGACTATTTGCTATGGAATGATTGAGTTATTTATTCGTACACCGTGCCACTGTGGAGAAGCAGTCTGTTTATGTGTTACTCGGCATTTTGCTGTAATTCGTCAGTTCCAAATAGTAGATTATTTTAGAATACCTTACTATGCAGATTTCCCACTAAAACACATTCATCGTGTAGTGCAAGGTAATAATTTGCATGTTGTTCCTGTGCAACATTTGAAAACAGTGTGTGTTTACATACCAGTATATAATCAAATATTCCTAGCAAGACCTTTAAATTTACATGAGTTAATAGAATGACCGTTTTTATCTTTTCTGCTAGTACTTTTAAATTATCCATTTAAAATGTTGACTAGAATGTATTTTGTGAAGGTTGTTTGCAAACTGTGATTCTTTTTTTAAAAATAAAAAGAGTCACATTGTGTGTATTCACTGCCTTCAGTTTTCAGCTATCCCTTTTAACTG